CCCCACCCCTCCCCCACCCTCGTTCTCTCTGCTTAGTTAGTACTAGATGTTTTTTAGTAGTAGTAGATGTTAATTTAGGGTTCATAGATAATGATTTTTAGCAGTAGTAGATGTTAATTAGTAGTAGTGATGGTACTGGTTAACTATTGTATAATGTAGTTTATTTTTACTGTTTTTAGTAAGTGTTTAAAATAATTAGTACGTAAATTAATAAACTAGTTGAACTACTTTAGTTGTAATTGAACTAGTTTAGTAAGTAAATTAATAAGCTAGTTGAACTAGTTGAATTAATAGAATTAATGTATTTTTAGTAAGATAATTAATATAACTAGTTGAACTACTTTATTTTTAGAAAGAACTAGTTTTTTTTCTATTTATAGTAAGTTTATATTTAGTAAGAACTAGTTGAATTAATAAAACTAGTTGAACATGTCATATTTGTTATTATTTTTTAGTTTAAGCAATTATTTGGGATGTATTAGTGATAACTTATACGGTTTTTGCTTTTGCAGAAATCAAGGAGCCCCTCCATCATCCCCGCCGTCGTCCCCGTCACCGACCCCCTCCGACATCGAGGTGAGACCAGCCAAATATCCATGTATATCTTGTGTTGCTCAAATAGGATATGTGGTTGCCGAAGTGGCCGTTCATATTCAGTTTACACCTCCGAGTGTCCTATGTTTTGCCGGAGTGTTGATTAATTTCCGTTCCGGCAAATTTCAGGCGCTCGATATGTCCTTTTTTAGCAAAGGTCATGCCGGATTTTTCCGTGAATTCTGGCATGACCTGTGCTAGAATATGTAGGAAATATCGAGTGGCCTGAATTTTCTCGAAAAATAATGATCTAATTTAGGTTTTTTAGTACATATATTTAATTGTACAATTTTAATCTTTGAATTATGAACGCAGGAAATGTCGTACTCGGACGACGACAGTCTCCCGGGGGAGTGCAGCTGGTGCCACGACGATCGAGATATGTGCGACAGGTTCTATGAGCTGGACGAAGATCGGCGCTTCAGCATTAAGCTCGAGGAGACCTTCGATGTTGAAACGGTACGCAACAACGACAAGTGTTTTTTTTTTCGTAATTAAGCATGACTTCAACTATTTCAACGTCTAATTTTCATCTTTTACAATTCGACTAGCTTATCCCATGCCATGCAAGACGCTATGTCTTGGAGAGGATGGGTTTTGAAGACCATGAAAATTTTCAAACAAAGAAAATACACCTAAGGACCCATCATGATATCGATTTTGAAGTAAATCTGTATAATTCTCAGAGCGTAACCCATTTTGGTTGTCAAAATTGGGAATCACTTTGCAAAATGTATGGTTTTTATGAGGGTATGCTTGTCACCATGGATCTTGGTGATCCTGACATCGAGCAAGACAATATGGACATTTGGATCCTTGATACGCTTCCGATTCTACCGCAATGTGAGTTTCTCAAACATAGTTATTAATTAATTTATATTGTTTATTTCAAAATAGTTGAAAGCTTATTTTGAATCTTCAAAGAATGTGCAGAAGATGGTAGACAAAACCCACTACACTGATGGCTCCGAATTAATTTATAAGGAGAAAACTCATCTGATTGCTTATTGTACTTATCTTGAGAATTACAATACCTATTATCGAACTCCTCCAAATTATGGTGAATACGTGTCACTAGTGCACGTGTTGAACCACGGTAACTTCTATGGAGATATCCTGGTAAGATATTTTACTATTACGACATCCGTGCATCTTCTGCATACTTCTAAAACTAGTACATCATTACTAACTACGAAGTTATTACTATGTTTTTCAACAGAAAATCTCGATGAATTGTGTGCCTCATCTGATGTATCAGAATGGTCGCCTTGCAGTTCTGAACATACAGCCAGGTCAATCTAAGGAACTCAACTGTGCATACCGGATTTCTAAAACCGGTGAACACATGCTAATCAAAGAATAAAAAAAATGTTTGGACATTCGCAAGAAGGTTCTTGGTAGTAACATTAAGCGAAAGGCAAGAATTGGAGACAGGATAATCTCCATTCTCCATAATGGAGAGTCAGGGGCTATCTTGTTTTTTTGCTATTTTACCTTAGAGAATATAGTAGGTCCTAAGAGAATGTAGTAGGTCCTATGAGGTACAATATGTTTATTATGTGATACAATGTGTTAGAGTTGATGATGAGGAGTACTTGTGATTACGACTAGTGACCAATTTGCTATGTGATATCTCATTAATGAAAACGATGATCTTGAGGAGGTGTTATATGACAATGATGTATTATGATGATAAGTTGTTAATGATATGATGATGATGATGATAATATTTATTATATCATTGGGTGAAAGAACCGCGGTTCACGATTCTTTCACCCCGTGATGTAATAACTCATTATGATGTAAAAACAATTTTTAAATTCCTGTTGTATGAAAACTTGTGTAAAGATGTACGAATACAACATGAAATAAAAAAGAAATAAAATACGAAATAATAGTAGCAGCACGGGCAGGGAGAAGCGCTACTACTAATTACCAGTAGCGCTCCTCCGGAAGTCGCTACTACTAAGTCGATTTAGCAGTAGCATGGGCGGAGGCACGCTACTGCTGTACGTTAGCTGTAGCGCCTTATCAGTAGCGCATCGCCCCGCGCTACTGATAGGCCTAAAACTCGCGCTGCTGCTAGGCTTTTCCCTAGTAGTGGTGTTGTACCCCAACATTATATACTCCACCATACATATATTTAAGAAAAGAAAGGAAAAAACTCAGGCCCAGCCCAGCTGCTCCTAATCATGATTGTTCGCACGTCCAACTTGCTGTTTTACTTTTGAAAGTAGAAGTACGAATGTAGAGGCAGATAGTTTAGCTAAATTCTCTCTAGATCTTGCTCCTGGTAGACACGTATGGCTCCTACAGCCCCATGATATTGTAACTATACCCTGGGACATCAATAATCAATAAAAGGAGCCGTATTCCCCTCCAAAAAAAACCTACCTAAGGCTTGTGCATGCAGGCGTG